AGCACGATACCTCACGGCATCATTAGTAATACCATAAGTGCCAACCAGATACTGTTCGACCTTGACGAGTCTGGCCACTGAGTCTGCTCCCATGAGTAGACCCTGTAGCTCCAGAAAGTCATACAACTCAGATTTCACAGTACTGGATAGACATCTAAGAACATAACGAAACATCGTCTCACTATTCAAAGCATACAACTGACCAGTCAGAGCAAGCTCTCGACAGAAATAGGAGACACTTCTTGCGTCATCTCGACCTTGAAACACCTTATCACCCGGGATCGGAAGCTGACCGATAGCAGTCATGGTCTTGACGTCAGAACGATGATCCTGAGAATCGTGATAAAGTCGATCAAAGGAGACGGTGCTAGAAGGGCCAGTCTTGGAACCCACCGGTAACTCGGCATGGTAGACTGGTCCTTGAGTCGGTGGCTGCGCTGACCGACCCATCATCCTAACAGATCCAGCTTCAGACGAAGCCACTGCCCAGCACCTTCGCAGCGCCAAACGAGGGGACAAATCGTCAACTGAGTCTATAAGAGCATTAGCTTCAGTAGAGGTCATAAACACCAACAAGTCACGCTCAACACCTAGCTTCTCAGAAAGCAAACGACGAGCCATGCTTGCATCTAAGACAACCTCAGGCGATCTAGACCTCTCACGGTGAGAAGTCTCATCCTGCCCAGTAGTAGCCAAGCCAGGCTGAGAACCAGAAGCCTCGTCCGTAGTGTGCACGTTAACATCCTGCTGAAGGGTACCAATGTTGTTGTGATTCGCCGTGGACTGGGAACTCAGCTGCTCAGACATACTAAAGGGAAAACAGATTATAGCAATACTTATGCAACAAGGCAGTAATTCGTTGACTAGCCTTAGCGTTGACACAAAGCTTAAAATAAAGAACAAAATGGGACAGGCGTCACAACTTCTACAGAAAACCTGCCATGACGGTGTAGGCGGCATGCTTTGCCCACAGTTTGATGCGTTCTCGCAGATCACGGTTTGTTTCATAGCCGAAAAGAGGGTGCTGTCGTGTTCACAGCTGGGTGGGATATGTATATATGTGTCTCATCTGCAGAAGCAAAGTTGCATTGATGGG